GGTTTATTTTACGGAATCTTAGCAGCCACACTGACATTTTTTTGGTTAGCATTGACATAGTATACTTTAATCCATTCTCACTTTTCCAAAATCTCTGTGTTCATATGTTTAGATGTGTTTCCTTTCTGTTTTGCCTTCTTGTACTTTTCTAGCAGTCAACTAACTGTGTGTTTTAATTAAGGCATCCAGTGCATTTACATCATCCTAGCCACATTGACTCCTGTTCCAGCTTTGTGCTATTTTCATGTATGCTAACTCTGTATCTATTTAACAGTCGTCAATACACTACCATTTCTTAGAGTCAATATCATCTACATTTATTTACATATTCTTCCTTTTGAGTGTTCTTCCTTTCTTCCCTCCATACTATTTCTCCATCTGTTTTTCCTTTCCAGAGAATTCCATTTAGAATTTATTTTAGGCCAATTCTACTGGCAACAACTACCTGCCATTTTGCTTGTTTAAAATAACTTCATTTTGTATACAATTTTGAGAAAGGCTTTCTGGGCTGAGGGACTCTAAGTCCATAATTAATTTCCTTCAGCAGTTAGTAGATGCATGGCATTATCTTTTCATTGTTTCCTGAGCTCAGCTGAAAGCCCAATAATGTTTGTTTTTGAAAATAAGAAATCTTTTTACCTCTGGCTGATTTTAAGATTTTTTTCTCCTTAAATTTGATTTTGAACTCTTTTATTCTCAGTTATGGATTTCTTTTATTATACCCTGCTTATTAGAATTTATGACATTGCTTAAATCAGTGGCTTGATGTCTTTGTTCAGTTCTAGAGAACCCAAGCTTTACATTTTTCTTTTTTAATTTATTGTCTGTTGACTAACATATAGTGTATACAGTGTGCTCTTGGTTTTGGGGTAGATTCCCATGATTCATCACTTACATACAATACCTAGTGTTCATCCCAACAACTGCCCTCCTCAATGACCATCACCTATTTTCCCCTCTCCCTCACCACCCCCCCCATCAACCCTCAGTTTGTTTTCTGTATTTAAGAGTCTGTATGGTTTGCCTCCCTCCCTCTCTGTAACTATTTTTCCCTTTCCCTTCCCCCATGTCTTCTATTAAGTTTCTCAAGTTCCATAGGAGTGAAAACACATAATATCTGTCTTTCTCTAAATGACTTTTTTCACTTATCATAATACCCTTCAGTTCCATCCACATTACTGTAAATGGCAGGATTTCAATCTTTCTCATTGCCAAGAAGTATTCCATTGTATAGGTAAACCACATCTTCTTTATCCATTCATCAGTTGATGGATATTTAGGCTCTTTCCATAATTTGGCTATTGTTGAAAGCACTGCTATAAGCATTGGGATACATCAGCAATATTGCTTCTCTTCCATGGTCTGTTTCTTCCTCTGTGAAGGAGATCTCACCTTACCTTTCTCATGCTTCCCATCCTGTATCTGCTTAGGTCTGCCTCCCTGCAGTCTAACCCCCATGCAGCTGCTCTGAATCCGAGGTTAACCTGCCTATCTCATTATTCATTTCTGTTACTATATTTTTCAATTCTAAAACTTTCCTTTTATTCTTTTTGGCAGCTTCTACTTCTTTGCTGGTACTATCCATCTTTTTCCCCTGAACCTATTCATCTTGGGCATGTTAAAGCCCCATATCTGATAACTGGACTTTCTAGGTATATTTTCAGTTTTGTTTCTATTATTGAATTTTGCTCTTGATTTATCCATCAAGTCTTGTTTTTTTAAATGATTATTTTTGACAGAGTGATGGACATTCTTTGTTTTAAACATGTCGAACTAATTGAGCCTTTGCATGATTTGGAAAATATTTTACCTTCATCTGACAGTGATGTGCAGAATGTAACCATGGGGCAGGTCTATGTAAGACACAGACAATTTCAAAGATAATGGATGTTATCATCTAAAGAGTAAATTCTGAAAGTGGGTGAGACCAGGATACTAGAGAGGAAAAAGAGGTCATACCGGCCTTATGGACATGCTAGGAGGACATTTGGCAAATACTGAGGAATGGCACCTGAGTCTGGGGCAGTTGGCGACAGACGTGATGGGCTCAGCCTAACAAATTTCATGCTTCAGGACATTGATTTGTTGGTTTTGATTCGCTGATGCTATTCCTGGGCTGAAAATGGAGCTTCTAAGAGAGGACAGGAAAGCAGATAAACAGCAGCAGTTTCTGTGGTATATGATTTTGCTCTGACAATAATATTTGGAAAGCATCACAGAAAGGAGATAACAAATGACTCCTTACACATATTTATTTATTTATTTATTTTTTACATATAGTTTATTGTCAAATTAGTTTCCATGTGCTCATCCCCACAAGTGCCCTCCTCCATGCCCATCCCCCCTCCCCCCCACATCCATCAGTGCTCTGTTTTTGTCATCATTCAAGAGTCTCTCATGGTTTGCATCTCTCCCTTTCCCCCACCATTTCTCCCCTTCTTCTCCCCCTTGTTCCTCAGTTAAGTTCCTCTTAATCCTCATATACGTGCAAACATATGGTATTTGTCCTTCTCTGCCTGACTTATTTCACTCAGCATAACACCCTCAAGGTCCATCCATGTTGCTACACATGGCCAGATTTCATTGTTTCTCATTGCCATGTAGTATTCCGTGGTATAGATAAACCACATCTTCTTGATCCATTCGTCCGTTGATGGACACTTAGGCTCTTTCCATGTTTTAGCTATTGTGGAGAGTGCTGCTATGAACATTGGAGTACATGTGCTCGTATGCATCAGCATTTCTGTATCCCTTGGGTAAATTCCTTACACATATTTTAAGCCTTTGTTTCCTTGCTAATGCCTATGGATTTTTGCATTTGGAAAACAAAGAGTTAATGGATGGTAAGAACTAGATTCAATCTGTGAGCTCAGTTTAGGAAGAGCACAGTAGAGAATCATGAGACTAGCTACCAGGGCCTTAGTAGGGAAATAGGGAAGGAGGCTGGTGGCAAGGGTTAACAGAGATCATCTCATCACTTAAATTCCATGACATCAACCTTGCAGGGAGTATGGTTCCCCACCTTTCTCCTTCATCTTCCCCTTTGAAGCTTCTCCAAAGAATCTAGTACTGAGATTTTTGTTTAAGCCCCCATTTCAGAACGGGTCTCACAAATATATTCCTAAAAGCTCTGCTCCTTCAAGCCAGGAAATCCCATAGAACATTCTGAATTTGTGGAAATAGAGAATTTCTGAAATCCATGTAAATGTTTCTATGTGGGTGCTTATATTGTAACTTTCAAGTGTATTTTTACTCCCTACTGATTTGGGAACAACACATGACTGGGCTAGACCTGGAGAAGTCTCTCCAGGACACAGTGACACAGGACAGGCTGCTCCTTGGATAATGCTGTATCATTCAAAAGTTACTAATGTGTGCTCATCAAGGGCAATGGTGGCAGGCACATTTACCCACCCTGCCAAAGACTCATAAACAATGACCTGTGAACATCAATTGAGTGAATGAGGACATGTTTCTAATTCTATATTCTATGAGAGCAGGAACCAGAGGAAAGGCATAGGTCACAAACAAAATACACTAACTGCGATTCACACATTTCTAAATATTGCAGTTCCTTAGAGAACTATTTCCCAACTGCGGCCACAGTGTCAATCACCTGGGTACTGTATGTATTTCTAATTTTGGTTCACAAAGATTCTTCTACAGTAAGGAAGGTGGGTATGGCCTGATCTCTAGGAGATTTGTAAATTGAAACCGAGAGGATTTTCAAGGATCAAGAGAGGACACAACAGACATAGTGAGAAAGAACAGGACATGAGGATTTCCTCAGGTGAAGCCACAATCCTTCAGAACCTGAGTACTCTCAGGCAAGGGCGGATAATAGTGATCTATAATCTGTTGACCACACAGACTTACCCTTGTAAATTTGTGTATGTCCCTATCAAAGTGTAGGAGAGGCCACAAACTTTACACACAGATGTGTCAAAAAAAACAAAGCTGAATCAGGCCACTATTTTTGTGCTGTGCCCAATGGAACTGTCCCAAATTGTCTTGGGAAATTCTGTCATATCATTCCTATGACCATTTCATGAAAAGACAGGCCAGGAAAACAGGCTGATCTTCAACTAGGAGCCACTCAGATCAGAGTCCTTAGAAACCCAGAAGGAAGGAAGAAAGATGCTCTGCCTCTGCATTCTGAAGGATTCCTCCAAGCAGTATCACTACTGCCTCTCTGCCCCAGTCATTCCCCCAGGTGCTCCCATACTCTCTTTACTCTGTCCCTCCAGGGCATCCTCATGAGGATCCCAGAAGACAGACTTACTCATTAGGCTGGGTGTCTGTCACCACAGTGTCTGTCCTAGGAGTAGTGATTGGTATTGACAGCCATGGAGGCCTGGCTGGGCTGGATGGGGGATACAGGCATCAGGGACCAGATGAGACATAGTGACTAGAGCTGTTGTGTTCTGAGCAGTCCTCAGAGGCTCTGGAGAAGACCTAATTATGTGTCATTGAGGCTTATGTGCAGATACCCTGATGGGTATCCATGGAGGGCAAAGCCTTTTGTCAGCTTCATTCACCCATCTCCAGCCCCTGTGATGAGATATGGCCCCTCTTCAGAAGGACCACCCTATTGTGAGCCTATCACTTGAGATGGAAGAGAGAAGATGCAGGTGGCTGTTCCCTCACAAAATTGTCTGCATTCCTTTTGAGTGGAATGGATGAGGGGCTTGGAAAGACTGGAGAATGAAGGAAGGAATGGATGCATGGATGCATGGATGGATGGATGCATGGATGCATGGATGCATGGATGCATGGATGAATGGATAGACAACTGAATGGATAAATATACCAACCAACCACTGGGGCCCTGAAAGAACCGCTAGAGCAGCCTCCCGTGAGCTGGCAAGTCTGATTGACTCAACACTCTGCACTGACAGACAAGGTAAGACCAATAAGGATGATCAATTCTCCACTTCTTGTCACAGCAACATTTATAAAATAAAAACAACGCAGGAAAGTGCAAAACTAACAGGGACCCATAAAGTGCTCTGAGATGCCTTTAATTCTCCTGGTGCTGAATAGACATGGGAGTACATGCAGACTGACTGTCACTCTCTGGAGGAAAAGGAACTTCTGCTTGAGGATCCAGGGGCTCCTTCCCAGCCTATTTCTACACACACGTGCTGTTCAAGAGGGAGAACTGGGAAAACCATGGTCTGATATCCACAATAAAGGTGCAATTCACCTGAAAAAAAGTAATTATGAGATTAGAACAGAGATTAACACATAGAAAACACTTATCATGAAGGACTGAGTAAGAGTTCAAGGTGCATGAAAAACTACAAAAGATGAAAAGCAAAAGTAAACAGTGGCCTGGGGTAGTATTTGAGAAGCTCAAGGTTCCACCCAAATGTTGGGCAGGGGTTGCTCAATCTGCACATGTGGGACAGGGGCTCCTGAGAGAGCATGTGGTGGGACCATCACTGGCCCTTCAGAGGTCCTACCAGTGCATGTGGTAGAGAATCAAGTAGACATGGCTTCAACACCACCCCTACACACATCCGTGAGCTCTGATGGAGCCAGCAGACTACCCAGGAGGTGGTCCAGCTGGACACCCAATATTCAGCAGCAGCTGCAAATCTACCCTGAGAGGAGGCTACCTCTAAGGCTGGAATGCAAGACTGAGACACATCCTAGAAGCCCAGGGGAATAGAGGGGAAGGTGGGATGACCAAACAAACTAAACAGTGCTCCAAAACCAAAATACAGGAGCAAGGGAAGAACTAGGACCACAGAGAGTGAAGAAGGTCTGTCCAAGCCTGAGGTCCAAGGAAGCATCCAGGATGGGCTCTTGAGGTGGACTCCATCCTGGGAGGAAGGTTATATCAGTGTCCACAGGGTGTCTCTGGTGGAGCAGCCAGGTGAGCACAGAGCTCAGGTTCACTGCTCTGCTGGAAGCAGCTCTGTCTGCTTAGTGTGACCAACTTTCCTCCCCAGGGCGGGGAGTGCCCTGGGACCTGGGGAGAGAGGGACCAGAATGCTTTTTCTGGCCCAGGATCATCCCTAAAAACTACCCAAGCTTACTTTCATAGACCCTCCCTAATATTGTTTTTAATTTTATTCTAAAACCTTTTTCACTCTTGGGTCTTCTTGCAAGGGACAGTTGTTTATGTCTTCATCCTGCTTTTATAAATTGTGTGGTGCAACTTCAGCTCCATTAAAAATAACATTGTCCACCCCTGTCAAGAAGAAATTATAAAACAACTGTCTAAATATTTGCTTTCCATGAATGAATAAAAGACAGAAAATCAAGTAGAAAAGTGGGCAAAAGATGAAAATATACGTATAAATAGGATATGTAAATCCTCTGTAATTTCTCTGTAAGCATATAACCAACAGAAAGGGGTCTTGATTTGCACCTAAGGCATGCACTAGAATCTTCCCTGCAGCACTCTTCCTGATGATCTGTAGCTACTAGTCACATCCACAGCACCATGAATGCACAGGATGGAAGGCTGCACAGCAAGGAGCCTGCGTGGTCTGCAGCAACACTGACAGCACCACTCATCTCTCATTGGACACCAGCACAAGACCAGCCAGACACAAGGTGAGCACACCAGTGAGTCCTTCTCTGGAGAGTAGGATAACAGGTGTGTTAGTCCACTGATCAGACATCAGAGCTGGCTGTCCCTTTCAGGGAAACATCTAGATGGGGACATAGAGGGTCCTGGGAGCTGGGAATTCTCTGCCTCTCTTCATATGGCAGCTGACTGTACAGAAGGGCTCTTCTTGCTAACATTCACCAAACTGGATATTTCCAAAGCAGTGTTGTTCCATGTGTTTATTAGGCTTCTATCAGAAGTTATTAACAGTTATTATTTTATTTTGTTAAATAGAAAAAGTCCATGAAGGTGCAAAAAGAACTCAAACAGGGGCCTCTGGGTAGCTCGGTCAGTTAAGTGTCTGACTTTGGCTCAGGTCATGATCTCCCACCTCATGGCTTTGAGGCCCGCGTTGGGTCCTGTGCTGACAGTTCAGAGCCTGGAGGCTGCTTGGGATTCTGTATCCCCGTCTTGCTCTCTGTTCCCCCTTCCCCCACTTGTGCTCACTCTCTCCCTCCCTCTCTCAAAAATAATTAAACATTAAAATTTTTTTAATTAAAAAAGAACTCAAACATATAAATGTAGCCAGAAATCACCATAGGGAGGAATCTGCCTCTCAGTGGACTGACCTGGAATTGTCTAGAAAGCTGACTTCACTTGGGACTCAGTTCTTACAGCTGACACACGGTAGCTATTCATACCTAGACATGTACCATCAACATCACCAACACACACACACACACGCACCAATGACCCCACTTGAATGTTCACCAGACCCTGAGCTAGGACAGAGTGCAGGGGCTGAAGCATCAGCTGTAGTCTCTATGCCCAAGGAACTCCTGCAGCCTCCAGGAGTCCAGGGCTGACTGCTATCTAAAGAAGAGGCAGAGGGTCAGGAAATGGGAAAGAAGCTGGTGGGCTCTGTGCATGGGCTCTCTTCAAGAATGTAATGAAGGGGTGAGACTCTCCCCATCAGAGCTCTGCTGGTATGGTGCTTGGATCAGGACAGTTCATGTGGGGACCAGAATCTGGGCATGGACAGAATGAGTTCTGGACAGCAGTCTGTATTCTGTCCAAAGAAAGCACAAAATGATAAGAATAAACAGCAGTGGGAAAGGTTTGCCCAAAAGAGACTAATAACACATTTCTATCAGACCCAACCTCTTTTCCACTCCTAAGGGTCTTCAACACAAGGCCTTCTGCCTGGGCTGTTTTAGAAATCTCAAATGCTCAGATCTGTTTGTCTCTCTTCCAAACGTGCTGCGTCTTTTCAGTTAATAGAGTTACTGCACACCCATGTGTTCTGCAAAAACACCCAGGGTCTGTCCTTGAGCCTCTCTCTCTTTCATACCCTCAATACCAGGGCACCCCACATTAGCCTCCAACAGATGCAGAAGCCAGCATTTCTTCCACTTCCCAGTGATCAGGGTACCATCCCTTGTATCCCAGTGGCTGCGGAGCCTCTGAGAGACCCCCTTCCATGGGTCTCCAGAACTCCAAGGATAACATCCTAAGTCTTCACCAGGAGCCCTGAAGGAGCTCTTAGTCCCACCTCCCACAGCACTCTTGCCTTTCTGCACCTCTTTCTTAGCAACCCCAGTCCCTAGAATTTCAGGCCATCCCCAGGGACCCTTGCCACTTGTCCCCCTAGGGTCCTCTTCACAACTGCTTGCCCTCTTCATCCCCACCCTCCATGTGACTGTGTCCTTCCAGGAGTACCCATCATTTAGATGCCTTCCCTGACCACTCCCCATGCCCCTCACCGCCCCTCAGCCCTGGGCCCCCACTCGTATAGCTCTTGCCCCAGCTTTCCACCATTTCAGTTATGAATTTGTGGGCTGTTGGCCTGTCCTTAGCAGCATAACAGTCCCATTAGAACACATTTCTGTCTGTCTTCTCTGCCACCTCCTACCCAGGCCTGGACCCACAGTGCTTCATGCAGGAGCCTCACAGTTCAACTGCTGTCATGCCTTTCCTTCTTAGGATTTTGTCTCGCATCTACTGCTTTTCTTAGTTTTTCTTGTTTGTTTATCCCTGCAGCTCTGGCTTCTCTCAGCTGCTTCATCAGCCCCTGTTCTTCCCCACCTCACTCCACTGCTGGATCTCTGCCTTCAGTGCTTGCTTTCTGCTCACCTCTTTGTTTATCCCCTCTGTAATTCAGGGACCTCACTCATGAAGGAAACAAATTGGAAACCTGGAACACTTCTTTTTTTTTTTTTTTGGTTTAAGATGTTTTACTTTGTGTTGGATGCAGATGGAAATAGAAATAAAATACAATAAAATAATACAAAAAATAAAAATCATATGAAACAAGGCAAATGTCTGATTTATAGCCAAAGAGTTATATAGGTATATCTAAAAATCAGACAATGAGGATGAGGCTAAATTTCTTTGGTAATTCCTGGGTGGACTTGTATGCTTGACTAAGTAAATTACACATCATAAAAAAGGAACAAGTTACAACTCATTAAAAATCATGTGATTGAAATTACCAACGGAAATTTCTTTACCCTTTGGATTCTAATAAGATTTAGATTTGGAAACCTGGAACACTTCTAATGAGGCCTTGTATTTTTTAAACAATATTTGCCAAATTAAAATGATGACACACAGACACAAACAGATCTGGGCATTTAGGATTGCTCTTCTCTGTGGATCCAGGATTCGCCCCTCCCAGGTGTGGTCTCAAGGTGAACATGGAGCCACAGGGAGGGAGGACTTGCCACTTACCTTGCGCTGGCTTCGTCGTATCCACAGCAGCTTGTATGCATACTCATCTGGATAGACTTGGTTGAAATGGAACACTGCAAACTCCACACATAGGGCAAAGTAATTTGCTCTCTTATTAATGTCCACAAAGTCAGAACTGCAGACATGAGGCACCAGCACAATAAGCCCCAGAAGCAGGGGTGCCTTCAGGAGCATGCTGTCTGGTGTCATCCCTGGAGGCCAGAAGCACACGGATGGCAAGGCAGCAGCTGGTTTGGGCCCACCCTCTGCAGCTTTTCATCCTACATAGCCCTACCCCAAGGAGTCCTTGGGCTACTGGCCAGTGCTCTGTCCAGCTCCTCCCCTTGACTGCCTGCCTTGTCCCTCCCATCATCACAAACCGAAGGCAGAGCAGGAGCTCTTAATTTCCACTCCTTTGTTCCATAAGCCTTGGACCCAGGAACATGCATTAAAGATGCTCTGTTTCCAGAGCTACATTCCCCTGCCCTAGCCTGGCCCTAATAGTCCCTGATCAGGGGTCTTGGCCCACCTCCCTTGCTCTCATGACAGTGTATTCTACACCTGGCAAGTCACAGGAACTCTTAGGAACACTGGTAGGCCCTGAGTCCTGGGTAGTTGAGGTAAAAACAAGGTCTACCTCTGACCATGGCTGCAGCCCATGGTCCCTGGGGACATCAGGAGGGTACAGAGAAGGGCCACCACTGGTGCACTATCACTTCCATCACCTCTGGCACCTACTGACCTACTTTCCATGAGGTCTGGCTGTGCTTGGCAGTGGGAAGAGGGGTTTCTAATGTCCTGGGGTGAGTGGAGACAATGCCCAGGAAAAGGGGGGCATACTAGCCCAGGGCAGGGCTCTGTTGGAATGGACATGGATGGCAGCCATGGGCATGGGTCAGGAACTGGGAAGGGCAGGTCCAGCTCAGGCCCAGCCCACATACATTTTCACACAGCTCTGCCACTTTAAGGTCCCATGGCCTTTGCCATGTCATTGTTGTCAGGCTTCTCACAGAGAAGAGGTAGTAAGGAACTTTCCTGACTTAACAAAGCAATGGGAGTGAGCACACTGGGAAAGTACGACATGCTGCCCACGCATATGAGGACACTCTACAAAGGAAGGATTTTTCCACCTTGGGCATGGAGTAAATAGATACATGTACATTGATGGTGATCCCAGAAAGGGTACAGGGCCAGGGCCACAGCAGTGGGAACAGGCCGTAAGTACAGACTGGGGCTACCCCAGGAAGAGATGGGAGTGTGGCCAGAGTGGAAGACACTCTTGTGACCATCTTCACTTTTGCACATCAGTATATGGCTGGAGGCATGGGCATCTAAGGACAGTCATCCCGAGGACTCCACAATCTACCTCCAAGTATGTTTGAGTCTGAGTGTTTCTTCCCCTGAGGACCTCAGAGGCCTGACTGATTCTTCCCCTACTCCCAGCAGCAGGATGACAAAAGGGCCATTGTCACCTTTTGAGAACTGCAGGATCTGTAACGAGGTCCCTTTTCATTCCTAACGTGGGATGTGACTGCCTCACTCTCTCACCAGGGTTCAGTGATTTCATGAGGCCTTCCAATGGACTAGATGTTGGATTTCTTGACCCTTTCTATCAATCTATTTCTTCTTTCCTTTGATTATACATTTTTGTGATAATTTCCTTGCATTCTTGAGAGAGAGATTGTAATCATCAGTTATCCTAGTGTCCATCTTCAGCATGTGCCTGTCCGGACCATTGCTTTCCTTAAAGCTGAACCCCAGTATCGCCATAAATACTTATCACATCATAAGTTTTAATCATTTCTTTGATAATATACCCTAATCAGAACTAAGATTACTTCTCCAGCCCATGTGTTATTTAAATTTAAATCTGAGTTACTGACTCGACAATCATTTATCTCCTTAATTTCAATCTTAATGCCACTAAAGCCAAAAAAATATTCCATATATCAATTCTTTCAAGTTCATTGAGATTTTGTTTATGGATTAGAATATGGTCAGTTTGGATCAATATTCTATAGCTGAAGAATACATGGTGTGTAGTTGGTGGTGAATATTTTATATAATTGTTATTAATTTGCCAAAATAACACTGAAGTGTATCACAGAGTGATGCATGGTACATCTTGGTTCAGCAAGGGACCATAGAAGAAATTGAAATAGAGGATCTATCACTCACAGGTCCTGGGGGAGGCACTCAGCAAGCTGAAGTGGCCACATGGGGAGCTCAAGGCACAATGCAGATGGAGCCAAAAGATCTGGGGTACATGGTTTTACTGGATGGAGTGCTTTGGGGTTCTTAGGACGGGACCAGATTGGTCAAGTCAACCCTAAAGAGTAGAGTTCTGATAAACCCCATAAGAGTCTTGTGTAAGGGCACACAAAGGGAAGGCTCAGGGAGGCAGGGGAGACAGGGGAAGTCATATTGGGTACTTCCATTTGCTTTTGACTCTAGGGCACATGCTTGTGCTTATATAAGAGTTTAGTGTCACTTTTAGCAACCCTCAGGCCCCTTGGCCACACAAAGTGAATCCCAAGGCAGCAGTACCCTGGAATAGCTTAGCTAAACTCTGAACAATAATAAAAAATCTATGTATTCTTAGCAGCACTCTCAACAAAAGCCAAAACATGGAAAGAGCCTAAGTGTCCATCAACGGATGAATGGATCAAGAAGATGTGGTTCATCTATACGATGGAATACTACATGGCAATGAGAAAGAATGAAATCTGGCCATGTGTAGCAACATGGATGGACCTAGAGGGGGTTATCCGTAGCAAAGTAAGTCAGGCAGAGAAGGACAAATACCATATGTATGCACGTATAGNATGAGAAAGAATGAAATCTGGCCATGTGTAGCAACATGGATCAAACTAGAGGGTGTTATGCTGAGTGAAATAAGTCAGACGGAGAAGGACAAATACCATATGTTTGCACGTATAGGAGGATTAGGAGGAACTTAACAGAGGACCGTGGGGACAAGAAGGGGGGAAGTAGTGGGGGAGAGGGAGAGAGGCAAACCATGAGAGACTCTTGAATGCTGAGAACAAACTGAGGACTGATGAGTGTGGGGGGGAGGGGAAAGACGGGCATGGAAGAGGGCACTTGTGAGGATGAGCACTGGGTGTTATATGGAAACCAACTTGACAATAAACTATTTGTAAAAAATAAGATAAAAACAAAAAAACAAAAATCGATGTATTCTTAAATTTTTGTATACATTTTCTGATTTTTACCTGGTGGGTTTTGTCAGTTATTGGATCGGGGTTTGATTATTCTCCCTCTAGACCTGGGTGTGGCTATACTGATCTGTAGACCATAAGAAGTAGCCCAAGGATAGAACTGTTGTAACTCTCATATTCAAGCAAAGCTGTGACCTTCAGTTCTCAAAAGACTATGTTTCTAGTCCCATACTTTTTGAGAGCTAAAGGAGGCCACAGTCAGAATAACAAACCTGCACTCACACCTTTGTGTCCAATGGGAGACTCATTAGAATCAGCAGTGCAAGGCTTATTTTTTTATGTTTATTTATTTGTTTGTTTGTTTGTTTTTGATAAGGAGGGTGAAGGGGCAGAAAGAAAGGGAGACAGAATCTAAAGAAGGCTCTGTGATGTCAACACAGAGCCCGATGCAGGGCTCAAACTCATGAACCATGAAACTATGACCTGAGCCAAAGTTGGATGCTTAACCATCTGAGTCCCCTAGGTGTCCTTGTATAGGGGTTTAAAATGACCCAGTGGCTGGGTCTGCTGGGGGACATGGCATTAACACAGAGACATTTGCAAAGCCCCCAGGTGCTCATAAGGTGTATCTGAGCTCAAAGGACAGCATAATTGTAAAGAACAAGATGCCAGCCCTTCCCAATTTTAAATGGGAGCAAAGATAAAGGTGTTCACTTATGAGGGGCACCTGTGAGTAGCACCAATTACTGCTCAAGGAGGCTCTGGCTGTCCTCAGCCAGCACAGGCCCCTGAGCAATGAATGTCTAGACCACTCTGAACCTGAGTGATCTCAGGCCAAGTGTAGGTAATATGCTGGCTGTGCTGACCACATACCTACCTTTTTAGTTTGTATTTGCCCTTATCAAATTGTGGGGAGATTTCAGAAATTCTATACACAGGTTGGTCAAAGGACCAAACGTGGGGGTGCCTGGGTGGCTCAGCTCGTTAACCATCTGACTTCAGCTCAGGTCATGATCTCACAGTTTGTGAGCCCCACATCTGGCTCTGTGCTGACTGCTAGCTCAGACCCTGGAGCTTGCTCTGGATTCTGTGTCTCCCTCTCGCTCTCGCTCTCTCTCTCTCTCTTCCCCTCCCCAACTTGTGCTCTGTCTCTCTGTGCCTCTCAAAAAGACATAAATGTTAAAAATTAAAAAAAATAAAAGGACCAAACCTGGCTCAGGCCCGATGAAGCTTCCCATAGTGTTTATAGCCGCATCTTGGGAACACATCAGCAAGAAAAGGACTGACTTTCAGCCACAGTCAAATTAGATACCCTAGAAACCTAAATGTGGTTAGGGTAATGCCTAATCCCTCCATTCTAAAGGATTTCTCCAAGCAGCATTGCCAATGCCTCTCTGTCCCAGTCATGCCCCCAGGTGCTTCCACACTCTCTTCACCCTGGCCTTTCAGTGCTATTCTTTGCAAGGATCCCAGAAGCCATACTTACTCATCAGGCTGAATGCTGTCACCACATGCCTGCTCTAGGGGGTAGTGATTGGTATTGGCAGCCTTTGAGGCCAGTCTGGGAGGAGGGTACAGGTATATCAGGGAATAGGTAGGACTTGGTGACTGGAGCGATCATGTTCCAAACTATCCTCAAAAGCTCTGAAGAAGACTTGCTTGAAGAGCCTCAGGAGCCTCCCGTGTAGATAACCTACTGAGTGTCCATGGAGTACAAAGACTTTTGTCAGCTTCATTCACCCATCTCCAGCCCCTGTGATGAGATATGGCCCCTCTTCAGAAGGACCACCCTATTGTGAGCCTATCACTTGAGATGGAAGAGAGAAGATGCAGGTGGCTGTTCCCTCACAAAATTGTCTGCATTCCTTTTGAGTGGAATGGATGAGGGGCTTGGAAAGACTGGAGAATGAAGGAAGGAATGGATGCATGGATGCATGGATGGATGGATGCATGGATGCATGGATGCATGGATGCATGGATGAATGGATAGACAACTGAATGGATAAATATACCAACCAACCACTGGGGCCCTGAAAGAACCGCTAGAGCAGCCTCCCGTGAGCTGGCAAGTCTGATTGACTCAACACTCTGCACTGACAGACAAGGT